TAGGGTCGAGTGGTCTTTATTGGGTTTGGAAGGAGGATGCAGTAGCAGTTTTGAAGAGGGAAGGGAAGTACCCAGAGGCAAGGGGGGGGGTTGAGGAGTTTTGTGTAGGCGAAATGATAGAGTCAGGAAGGTTTGTTTTAGGATAATAGGTTTAGGCCAGAGGAACGGGGGCCCTTGTCGGAAGGGTCTGAGGAGAATTTTAACGTCTGTTTTGGGTGAAAGGAGTGTCAAGTTTTTGGGGAGGAGGAAGAGGTCCAGATGGTGGGCGTCTGGTTTTGTTTCGTGTGTGTGTGGCAGTTTCCAGTGTTCATGTTTGAATGTTTGATAGCATTAGGGGGGGGTGGGTGAGGGGGAGGATTTTCCCCCCCCAGATGTTTTGAAGTGTTAGTGCAGCCTGCGGGTCTGAGTGTGTGTGGTTGTGGGTATGTGTTTGAATTTGTTGGGGGGAGTTGTGCTCAAATTTTTTTTGATAAAGTCCAGAAGGTTTTGGGGTTTTTTTTGTTCGCTGTTTGTCCACTTGTGTTTTGCTGTGCCCGGTTTGTTGTGGTCTGGTTTGATGTGTAGAATGTTTTGAGGTAAGCGAGATCTAATCGGATTTGATTAAATCTGTGTTTTTGTAGAGAAAGGGTTGTGGAAACAGATAATTAGTCTTCTTTTTTGATTGAGGGTGTGAGGATTAACGAGTGGTGGGGTTTTTTCTTTGGTATTGGGGTTTGGCTGTTGTTAAAGGGTGTCGGGATGAGAGAATTTAGTGTAAAGTCAGAGAGGGGTTTGTTGTTGTAGTCTAGGTGAGGTTTGTATTATTATGTGTTGTTTGAAGGAAAATCCCATCAGCGTTTTTTGTAGGAGAAGGAGGTTTTCCCGGGATGAGGATAGGGTTGGAGGAGTGTGTAAGATGACGGGATGTGATCAAGCCTGTAAAGGGCCAGGTAAAATGTAGTGTTGAAAGAAAGAGCTGGTCGGTTTGCCCGAATGATGTCGGGTTTGCCTTTGGCAGTGTGATTTTAGGGGTTGAAAAAGGGCCGAGGTGAACTAGGGGTTTGTGGTTTGGAAATTAGTAATTGGTGACCAAATTGGTGTTTCGGTGTGATAAAAGGGGTTTTGTTTGGCTTTTATCAGCTAGTAGGTATGTTGGGGTTTGGGTAGTTGAAGACTAAGGGAAAAGGGCGTGTTTGTTGAGAAAGTGTTTGGGCGGCTAGGTGGGGAAAAAAATAAAGGGGGCCCAAAGGTGGGTGTGTATTCTGACCGCAAGCAGTGTTGTTGTTAAAAGGGATTGGGAAAAAATTGTGTTTTATGTTGGGAATTTAAAGGATGGCAACCCCCCTCGTGGGGATCATACGTTGAGGGGGTTTGAGGCAGGTACTGTTTTTGAAAAACAATATCTGGCCTCTCTGCTTCAAGGGCTAGCCAGAGGGTCTAATTGTAAAGTAAGAAATACGTTGAACATCACCTTAACATGATTTAAAAGGTTTCGTCATACAAAAATTAATGCGGGGGAGGGTTTGGATTTTAAAACCCCCGATATGGGCCATCAGTGGGGTGTGTTTTTTAGGGTACGGACCCCCTTTCCTGGATGGGGGGAAGAGATGGATTGTTTTTTGTTCCTTGGTCGTCTGTCAGAGTTGGGGGAGGTTTAGGTTTGAGTGGATTTTGTTCTGGGGAGGGGAGTTGGACCTGGGTGAAGTTTTGGGTTGTGGTGGAGGAGGGGGCGAAGGTGGATGCGAGGAATGGAAGCTTTTTGGGAGGGGATGAGAAAAAGGAAGAATACAAGGGTGAGGAAGTGGAAGCTAAGGTAAGGGATGAGGGAAATGGAAACTTTGGAAAGGGGAAAGAGGAAGTGAGTAAGGAAGTGGGGGGGGAAGGGGGGTCATGCAGCAGCATGGGGTGTTGGGGGATGTGTAGAAGTAGTGAAGAGGGGTAGGGGAGGAGGAGAGGGTGGGGGTAGGAAGTTGGGGGTGGGAGAGAGGAAGGAGGGTGAGGTTTTAGGAGGGTGAAGAGAAGCGGGGAGGGATAATTAAAAAGGGGGAAAATTGTTAGCAGACAAGATTTTGGTTAAGGACATGTGAGTAGTTGATTGGTAAGCTAAGATAAATAAGAAAGTTTCATTTGGATTTTTAACCCCGGAGGGTTAGCCACCCCGGATAACCCCAAGAAAGTCAGTGCGTCATCGAGGACGTCAAAATCATTTCCCTTGGGGTCCCCTTTAAACTTTTCCCCCAGGATGCGACCCCCACCCGTCGACTAACACCCCGGTACCCATTTGGCTAGGGAACGGACAACAAGTGTAAGGGAAAATTGTCGAAAAGTTTCCACCCGCCGGGGAAACGAAAAACCCGGCCCCCCGTGGTGAAGCGGGGCTTTAGCCACCAGGCCACCGCAGAGTGGACAGCAGTGGCGGTTGACAGTTTGTATCTTGTGGGTGTAGGTGAAAGGAAAGTGCTTGTATTGTGTGTTGGTGTTTGATGTGTGTTTTAAATAGAAGAGGTTAACCCAAATGCGT